TCCGCCTTCTTCAGAACCAGCTCTACGTGAAGGCGGAGAAATGCGAGTTCCACACAAAGCCCACCTCATTCCTGGGATTCGTGCTGACACCGGGAGAGGTATCCATGGACCCAGCGAAGGTGCGTGCTGTCGCCGAGTGGCCCATCCCATCGGACAGGAAGCAGCTCCAGCGATTCCTTGGATTTGCCAATTTTTTTAGGAGGTTTATACGTAATTACAGTGGAGGTTCCTCCACAATTAACCCAGTGTTAGTATTTATTTAAATGTTTCATGCTATACATTTATAGTTTCATTTGTTTGTGTGTCTATTGTTTTAGGTTGTTTACTATTATGGGTGCACACATTTAGTAGACGCCTTTGTTCGGTAATTATTAATTATTTGTTTGCTGAGTTGAAGGGCTGGCTGGGAAAGAGGACTGATGGAGAGATGAACCAGGAAGTGGAACAAACCATCAGGCTGCTGGAAGCAGGGGACCTGATGTTAAAAGAACTTTCCTCTTTCTAGTTATAGCAAAAGTCCTTATTTTGATGTTAGGTTTGATTTGTGTTTGTTATGGCGTTGTGATTAAAATGTTGGTTTAAATTAATTGTTTATGTTTATACACTGTTTGTCTTTGCCTCATCTCCCACCCCTTCTTGTGTGTATAGGCTAGCCTTTGTGTTTAAATTCCCCTGTGTGTTCATTGTGGGAGGTCAGTTGTTGGTTTGTTATCCTGAACTAGGTATGCTTTAGTTGTTGTCTTTTGGGACCATTTTTGTCATATTTTGGAATTTGATGTTCTTTTTTTGGAAGAATAATAGGAAAATAAATAGCATTTATTTGTTTATGCCTTTGTCCCTGCGGTTTACTGGACGGACCGTAACAGATTTGCCAATTTTTTTAGGAGGTTTATACGTAATTACAGTCAGGTCGCCTCCCCGCTCCACACGCTCACGTCGGGCCAGACTAGAAAAAAAAAGGGCCCTTGACTTCATTAATTATAAGAATGACTAAATCAAATGATACAACAGTTGCACAACAAATGAATCTATGTTGTTTTTTTCCCTGGAATCAATACAAGGTGAATAATCATAGAAAGGGAGCCTATTTGTCTATGGTCTGCTGACTTTTCAGAAACGCTGTGGTCAAA